AGTGATAGGAAGTAGTATTGCCATGGAGATGATACAACACTTTTGAAGTGATGGTGTGGTTACCACTCCCAATAGCGTTAAAGCATGGTTTTTATCTTGGTTTCATAAATACTCTATGGATTGATTAAGAGCTAAAAAATCAATGAATCAGCTAATAAAATAACAACAAAAAAATAATTAGCATGTATCTTAAAATAGTAAACAAAACTACAGATGAGTCAAATTGTATTTGGTTTCGTTGCATGACTCAATATCTCATATGGGATTTCGTCAAACGGACTGCGGTTTCGTGGTCCACCTACGGTTTCATGATCCATTACCCAATATATTACACCTTAAAAAAATTTCTAGCTCCTCTCTCTCTCTCTCTCTCTCTCTCTCTCTCTCTCTCTCTCTTGTGAAATAGACGTTCTACAAAACAATGTTTTAAGTTATCTAATATACCATTTTTATCGCATGTAGCAGCACCAACTATGAGAAATCCACATATGATGTGTGAACAATGACAGTTGTGTACCATAGTCAGTAGCTAGATATGGATAAGGGGGCATGACATACATATGGTGAGCTACAACAATGGTTAAAGAGCCTAACATAGCTAGGGTAAGAGATAATTGAGCATGCCATGACGTTGTTAGTATCTCATATAGGCCTTTATGGCCCTGGCCCATAAATGGACCTTTATGAGCTTCTAAAATATCTTTTAGACCATGACCAATGCCCCAGTTGGTCCTATACATGTGACCCGCTATTAGAAAAAGAATTGCAATAGCTAAATGATTGTGTGCCGTATCAGTTATACATTGAAATTTATAAGTAATGTGTATGAAATTTTCCCAACTATTGAAAAAACTGAACAACGAAACCACATATGGCAGGGCCATCTGCGATGATACAAGTCTTTAATGCACATAATGTACATCCGCGACTTGTATATTCGCACTGAAAGGAAACCACATACGACTTGAGAGAAAACCTAGACAACTTGAGAGGAAAGCGTAGATGGCTATGTCATCTGCAATTTCATGTTTTTTGAAAATTGGCAAGGTGAATTTTTTTTATAGATAACACGAGATCAAGATGACCATTCCAAAGACAAGTTTACGAAATCGTAGGTGTGTTTGCCTCATCTATGTTTCGTTGGCTATTTTTAGATAAATCCTAATTTTTGGCTATTTTTTACTAAGTTTATTAAGAAATTATGTTATATTTAAAAAAAATCTCCAGATTTAAATACATTAATGCTCCAAATTACACTTTCAGCCTCCATGTTTTACAATCTACCCACATTCCAATTTTTTTTACTAAATCAGGATCTAAAAGTTATATAATTAGCCCTCAATTTTTATAAATTTTCATTTGTCCCTTTTTCATTAATTTAATTCTTTTTAGTCCCTCGAAGTTATTTGCTTACATATAAACAAATTTTTTATTTAGGACCCATTTTACTCTTGGCACAGTGCCATCAAAATCAACAGACTAATCAGGAATAGGGATGCTCCGGTCTGTGAGGAGAAGAGAAGAAAACGCTGAGGATGGATGTGTTGATTCAAGGTAGGCGGTATGGATGTCGTGCATTCTGCTTGTCTATTCATCGAAAGATTTCTGAAGTTGTTTTGATATATAAATTTTTAAACTTTATTTACACAATCCCTTCATAATAAGATATTCCACTACAAATCATTTATATTTCACTAGAGCTTAGAAATATTCAAATTTATCGAACGCGTCCTTCATTTTCATCTTTCCAAACTCCTTTCCAAGATTAAAGGCTTAGCAACAAACCATTTTAGAACAGCTTTTGCACAGAGTAGGCGTTGTATAACATATAAGAACCAAATTCACAACAAAAACCGACATATAAATATTTTCTAACTCCTTCGTCGTATGATTTTTTTTCAAACTCATTGTTTTCATTAGAGGGTTTTAGAAACCAGTAACAGAAAACCAAAGTTTATACCGGAGGTAGCACAAAAGTTGATCCCAAATTAATCAATGTTCTATTTTTCAAAATCAATGTTTGTTTCTATAAAATGTACCTAAGTTAGTTTTTTCTATAATATAGTTTTTTTTTTTTTTTTTTGTGAATATCCTATGTAGTAATCTAAGCTAGTATCTTTTTCAACATATATATATCACATGACTATCAAGTCGTAACCTTTGATTTGTATTTATTTATCTTTAGATTTAACTTGTTAGGTACAAAAGAACGCAACAAAATGGAAAATTAGAGATGAACAAAGTCATTTGTTTGACTTTTTTGTAAGTTATCAAAGTTGTGTATATGCTCTCACAACATGAGGAGTTGATGATAATCTTCCTCACGGTTAATGATGAACACAAATATGGATGATTAAAGATATGACTTATGATGTTGCTTGGACGTATATGTGACGATTCTTTTATGATTATTCATTTTTAGTTGTCGACAGTATGATATGGGTCATCTTCCTTTCTGTTTAGATTATAGACATTCATATATATATTTCTCTTACGCATTTATTTTTTTGAAGTGTTCAATTTATTTATATTTTTAATGAGATTATTATAAAAATATTGGTCTTTTAATTTGTTTATGTTGATGTGATGAATATTATTTTTAATTTTTTTTAATATCTATTTATTACGATGTAAATTTTTTTTTTTCTAAGTGTATAATGCTGTAAAAAATTGTAGCATGTGTATTTTAATCAATCATGACAAAATGGAAATAAAATAATCAATAATGAAAATAGAATGGAAACAATCAATTTCATTACTACAAATTCAATTAGGTTGTCATTGTATTTCACCATGACAATAGAATGGAAATGAACCATTTCATTGCCCTGTGCATCCTATTACTACAAATTCAGTTACATTGGCATTCCATTTCACCGTAAACAGACTTTTACTGTTGTTTAATAGTAATACACCAAAATTGTTTTTGGGTTTCTATTCCAATCATACTTCAAATCCTCCAGCTCTTAGTCTTAATAATACACATCAAGTTTGATGTTATACCATTCATTCTAAGAAAAATGACTTAAAAAGATAACGAAGTTTCAAAAATGTACAAAAAAGATCATTGTTTTTTTTAGTACACAAAATACCATTTTACCGGCTATTGTAGGTTACCCGGTTTCCAAATGTTCAAAAAATACCATTATTGTTTTTTTAGTACAAAAAATATCATTAATGTTACTATTTGTACACAGAATACCAACGAAGTACACATATGTTCAACTAAAACATTGTGGTAACCAGGTACTTCAAGTAAATGGGAAAATGACTTAAAAGTGTAACGACGTTTCCAAAATGTTTAAAAAATATCACACTTTCTGTTAACTGTGTTGTTGTCGGATTATGTAGAACACAATTATCGGAGATCATGAACCGTCATATCAGTTCGCAACAATTGTGCAAACCTAAAACATATATACGTTATATAGATGCACATATTATACATCAAGGTTAGTCGTTCATTAGTGTTGCGGCACAAGAGAGACACAAATGAGAAACGAGTGTGACGTTATCTCATGAGAATTCCTAAATATGGATTTAGATACAAACTGATCGAGTGATAAGATGAAAGATAGTACACAACTGGTGTGAACTGGTACGACGGTGACTACTGACTAATCTCCGATGACTGTGTTCTATATAATCCGGAAACAACGAAGTTAACAAAATGTGCTATGAAAAAACAACAATGATTTTTTTTTTGAACATTTTGGAAATTTCAATGGTATTTTTTATACTAAAAAATAATGGTATTTTTTGAACAATTTTGAAACTTTGTTACCTTTTTAAGACATTTTTCCGTTACCTGCAGTAGCAGGTTACCCATAAGACTTTATTTGAACACATGTGTACTTCATTGGTATTTTGTGCATAAAAAATATACTTTAATGGTATTTTGTGTACTAAAAAAAACAATGGTCTTTTTTATATATTTTTGAAACTTCGTTACCATTTTAAGTCATTTTCCCGTCATTCTATATAACAAACCCCAAACTTGGTTCTATATATAATTTGAAATTAAAAAAAAAACGTGTCAAATTTACATTATATTTAAATATTTTTTGTATTAAGGTCGAAGAGCACCTGAAGTTGTTGAGACTTTAGCTATTATCATTTTTCATTATATGGACTAAAAGTTTGGTTTTTGCCTTTGCACTTGCACCCTTTATATAACAAAAGTACAAAACTCCCTTATCTCTACCAAAATTACAACCAGACTCTTCTCCTAATGCTCTTTTTTTTCTAAGTGGCCTCCACAATGTCCCTTCATTTAAAGTATCATTTTCGTAGTTGGGTTTTCTAAAATTCTTTCATTAGAATAAAATATTTGACTTACATGGATTAGATCGATCACAATTTTTTTTGTCAAATGGCTAAATAAAAATTAAATAAATAAAATAGCAAATACTTTCATCTATTTGTGTATTATAACATCTTATTTCCAGTTCTTTTTATTACAACGTTTTACTTTCAATTATTATCTTAATAAAACATTGTACTTTAAAAAGCTTATCCAATTATCGAATTATATGTTCAATTTTTTTTTCTTATCAATACATTATGTAATGTCTCAAAAAATCTAATCAATTATAACAACGGAAATTGTTTTATATTTTTTTGACATAGCTACATATTTACACATTCAACTTGTTTAAACTGTACACATTTGGTCACTGTGTTTTTTTTTTCTGTTCATATTTTGATTTGTAAACATTTGGTAAGATTTTTTTTTTCTCACTTCAAGATACATGGTATGCTTGTTTATCCACATATTTGATCCCCTAATTCACTTTGAATCAAATTTTCTTGCTTTTTTGTACAAGAGTTTGGAAATTATGTTGGTGACAGATTAGCAAAACTTAAAAGAAACAATATAATGTCATAGCACATAAAATCCAAACCAAGTGTAGCCATAAAGGTTAACCAAAAAAAACAAAAACAAAAAAAAAGATCATAGTTGAAATTAACAGAATCATAAAATGTGATTGACTACGGAGTTAACATCTTTGACCTGTGAGAATTTGCTGAACTGATGCATTGTTGAAATCCTGGCAACAAATACAAATAGAAATCATATCAAATTCAAGTGTAATTACAAGGCAAAAACAACTTGATACATGTTCAAAATGTCAAGAAAGGTAATCAGAAAAACATTAAGGATAGCATACAAGAAATTAGACAAATTTACACAAATAGTCCTTGTGGTTGGCAGAAAATGCCACTACAAGTCTGTTTGAAAAAAAAATTAACATGGTTGGTCCTTTTCAGGTTTAAAAGGCAGACGATGGGTGGCAGAAAAGGACCCATTGTCTGCATTTTAAACCTGAAAATGACCAATAATGTTAAAAACTTCTCAAAAGGACTTGCAGTGGTATTTTCTACCAACCACAAGGACCATTTGTGTAATTTTGTCAAAGAACTATATACTTTTAGTTTATGAATTACCTGACTATATAAAACTTGGCGATGATGAATGAGGCACACGACGATCGTTAGATCCAATTTGAATGTCAAGCTCTTTCACATTAAAATCTTTCAGATCATAACTACAAACAGCTCCATCCCAATTAGAAAGCCTTATGCATGTCAAATATCTCATACTCATCTTCCAGAGACAGAATCTGGAAAATATTTAAAATATTCTCCAAAGTACCAATAATCCGGGATACTTATACGCAGCTTCTCCCACTTCATCATCTCAAAATCTTTAAGAATCCACATGTCAGTTTGAAAATCGTTAAACATCCACACGTCAGTTTTTTTAGAGGAAAATTGATGAATAAGAGTGAGAAAACCACCCATCTCAAACACAGTGTAGTTGACATTACTAGATTCAGGTATAGGAAGACTCATTCGTACCATTTTCTCTTTCACCATATCCATGGAAACCAGATACCACCTATCACCATGAAAATCCCAGATCCTCCAATGGAAATACCTCGCTTGAACCGAAACAGGGTCACCCCAATAAGGACGCCTTTGGTACATATAAGTAGGGATCCATTCATCCATGTAAGAAGGAACCTCAATCTTTTTCCAATTTGATGATATTCGGGAGAGAATGTTTCTTCTCAAGACAAGAATATGGCATTGAAGAGGTGGGCCCATGAACACATGAAGTACCTTGTATACTCCCTTGAATCCATCGAAGGAAAGAGCCATTCCACAGTTATTGTCGTCTCCTTCAACACAAGATGTACAATGTGGAAGAAATGATCCTTCGTTTGTGATTACATTGAAAACATACTAGTGTTTTTCCAAATCCGTTACTAGAAGATACTCGTTACACCATGTTATGATGTGGCCTCCTATAGGAATTTCAAGATTTTGCACTTTTACTTGTAGCCCTTGTTGTTCTTCTGTTATGTCCACGTGGCGCACTGTTGAATCATAAGCTGTTTGGAGGATGAAAGAAGCATGGTCTAGCAAGATCTTATTAGTGACTATATTGAACCAACGTTTGCAGACATGCTTAGCTTTATAACGAAGGAAAGCTTCGGGAAGCTTTTTAAGGATTTGTAAAAGGATGTCGTCTGAAAGGAAGGCAAACCAGTTAACTTTCTTTTCCTTTCTTGTCATCTCTTTGGTCGTTTCTGTCTCCATCTCCATCTCCATTGCCTTCTGTTTCAAACAGGAAGCAACATAAGGAAGAAACATTTTTATGTATGTATGCATAGGGAACTGTATGAGCTTTGTGTCTACTTCAGTTGTTTGCAAATGAATGCTCAATAACTTACTTCAAGCAATTAAATATATGTTTTTGCTTTGGATCAACGTAAGTAAGAATGCAGAGTTTAGGTATAAACAAGATTGTAACCTAATTGTTCATATAAAATGGATTGAAAAACAATAGTTACACCTTTAATTGGTTGAAAAGAGACAGAGTATGCATGAGGCAAAAATGTTCATCTTCTTACAACATAGATTCTAAAACGAGTTCAACTGTTGTAAATTAGCACTTATATCACATCTAGAATCTGTAATTACTTAACTACTAGAACTGTAATCCATCGATCGGACTGTCATTAAGACACGGCGCTCATGTAATGCTAGATACGAAACGAAATCGAAGAATGTAAAATTACGATTCGATAAACAGGCATTTGCGCATAAATGCAAGCACGTACGGAGGACACATTTCACATATAGAACGACAGAAAATAATGAAACATGAAGGTGAAGTGAAAACCTGTAGGGCGCTGGTTGTCGATGATAATCGGAATTAGGTTTTCCGGTGAATAATCCGCAGAAAATGACGGTTTCTTAAGGCTCAATCGATCCAAATCTCATATGCCTCCCAGTAAACCCGGAGAGGTCGGTTTTTTCTTTTTCCCAAAATTTAGGAAGAAACGGATTTGGATTTATAATCATATTAAATAAGTATAAAAAGAATTTCAAAATAATAAAAAAAATTGTTTATTAACTTATAACTTACTAGGTTATAACCCGTGGAAACCACGGTTACAAAATAAAATAAATTTTGATAATTAAAAATCGTAATTATTAATCAGTTATTTTTAAAAAATTATTAAATAACAGAGTTATGTGATTGACCATGATAAAAAATTATTATGTAACAGAGTTATATGATTGACGAGGATAACCATAACAACAGTGGTCAAAACTATGACAAGAATGTCATTGAGAACTTCATTAAGGAAAAGTAAGAAGAAAAAAGATGGACTGTTAAAGATAGAATACCCAATTCGCCCTTACAGGTTTCAAGAAAACAAAGCCCTACACAATTTCAGAAACCTTCTGAAAGATGTACCTCATCAAACAAAAAGAAATCTCAGACATGTTTCACAAAGACCAACATGCCCGCTACAAAAATTAGTCTCCCCGTGCCTCCGAAAGCATTTGAACCCGTATGTTAAATTTCTTAGGACTTGTTTAAATGGATTTTTGTGTGATAATGGTAATTTGTTTTTAACTTTTTATGATCCCAACTTATAAACAGATAGTTGAAAATATTTGGGAAACATATTGAAGTAAAGAAAGATCAGCCAGATGAAACGTTATACATGAGAGTTGGATAACTGTGGGGATGCTTGTTCCTGAACAAAATCTTAAGGCATCGTGCTTTTAATAAATAAATTACATGATTAGGTAAATTTTCATGAGGATTGTTGTTAGCCTTCATGATTGAGACTAATTCAGCCACCTGAGCATCTATTTTGTGAGCATAAAAAGTTCTGCTTGTGCAGAGGACGAAGAGGACCAGAGCAAATAAAACCTCAATTGAAAGATTCATGCGATTTACACAGAAGGATATTATGGTCCATTTACTGATTTACTTTAGTGTTATAATTTTAATATGTAAAAAGGAATATTAAATAATAAAAACTATTTAAAAAATAGATATGGGAAAATGTGATATTTTAAAACATTAAGAATGACAAATATGATATTCAAAGTTTAGGTTGGGAAATATGATAATTTAGCCGTTTAGTAAAGGTTTGGCAATAAAAAAACAAAATTACTATATGATAATATGAAGATGTTACAATACGAAGTAAGATGTCACACACACATTACTGCAATAGGAAGAGTAAAAGAAGGATACTATAAATTTTTAATTAAAAAATGATTATAGGCAATAAGTTAATGTTTGGTTTGCAAAATCTGACCCATGCAACAACAACACACAATGATGAAATAGGAAAAGTAAATGAAGGGTATTATAAAAATAGTTAGTGTTCGGTTTGTTTGATTCATAATTCATGATTCTATGGAACAAATTCTAGTTTGTTTGTTTGTTTTGCAAAAAGAAAATTAAAATATAAAACTTTTTTATAACATCACCATCTCAAGGATTCTGTCAAAATGTAATTTTGATCCACAAAGAGTTAGATGAGAACAAATTGCAGGTACCATAAAAGTAGTAGAAAATATTGAGATCAATAAAAACAAAAGAAAATGTCACGTCGACAAGTTCTTGCTTTTAATTCAGAATGTTTTTCTGGACAACTGTTGTCATAGTAAATCCAAAACACATCAGATGAGCCAACATTTTTTATGGTCATTCTAAAATTATATAAAAAAAAGTTAGTATCAAATTGTCACACCCCGCTAAAGCGGAAACACAGGGCGTGGCAGTACAAAAGGTTTCATCGCAAAAGTTAAAAGACAACACCAACCATAGTATTAAAAATCATTCAAAAGTTCACAATGGTTTGAACAACTTTTAAAAGAAATTACAATGTAAATTGAAATACAACACATGCGAATGCTCCTAAAAGTGAAGTGTCCCTAAGTGCCACTTACTCGATGATTCCTGAAAAAGCATGTAAAACGAGCGTCAACTATAAAAATAGTTGGTGAGTACTCACAGATACAAAAAATACATGGTTCCATGAATTGAAATCAAAGTTTTGATAAAAGTTTCCAATAATAAAAGTATATTGTTAAAATGAGTAAATAAGTTTGTAAAAACAAAGTTCTTTGTCATCATGAGAGATAAGGTATGTTGCCCAAATAAGATGCAACATTCATATTCTCATGGAAGATAAAGTTCGTTACTCAAACGAGTAAACAAGTTTCATTGCTAAAATGAGCAATCAATTTCGTTGCTACAAGGAGCAAACAATTTCTTTGCTAAAACATGTATATAAGTTTTCAGTAATAAGAGTTCGTTGTTGTAATGAGAAACAAAGTTCATTGCTATAATTAATAAACAAGTTTATTGCTATAATAAGTAACGAGTTTGCATGTGTATGAGCAAACAATGAGTCTCAACCAAACCTATGACTGAAGCCCTATCAAGATCTATGCTTATCGTTCCATAGATGAATATGGTATCATGCACTCCAGCAATAGGGCGAGTGAGGAGTTGTCAGTTCCTAACAGCGCTATCCATAATGACCATTGGCTCAAAGAGTTACTGGTTAGAGATAAGGGAAGGGCCTTAGTACGATAAGTTCTCATGTTCCATGTTGCATAGACATACATAGAGAGACATAGCAATAAATTAGCAATCATGTTTGATACAAATCAATTTAAATACAACATTCAAATAATAGTTTTTCGGGACATGCTTTTCCACCCCAAAACATTAAAACTGAAAATAGGGGAGTGCGTGAATACTCACAATGCATTGAGATGATGCAAATGGTGCCTTGATCTACGCTCCACTCGTACCACTATCGTTTTTCCTACAACGACATTACACACTAATGAGTCCCTAATTGAAATCTAATACTAGTATACTTACTACTACAATATAATTATGCAATAATGTGTCAAGTTTAATATTGATAGGTTACAAACATTTTTCTGTGAAAATTAAATTTCAAAGAATCAATTGTTATAACATTTAAGTGGAAAATTCCCATTATTGAAATGTTAATATTTAACATTTTAAGAGGTATTCCAATGATTAAATATTCAAAACTAAATCAATTTAGTTCTAAACTTTCCTAAACTTTGCATTTCAGTTTTATTGAAGTCAAAGACCTTAAGATAAATTTTCTTGACTTTTTGATTTGTCTAATATTTTTCACACCATTTAATTCCTTGAATAATCATAAAATCATGGAAAAATAGTAAAAAGTTAATAAAAATTACCAAACTTCAGATTTTGGTTCTAACTACATTAAAAGACTTCCAGATAAATTTTCATGGTTTATAGATATGTATAACCAATTTTCTTATAATTAATTCTCTAAATAGATAAAATTCATGAAAAATAGCAATCAGTAAGAAAATTCCCCAAACTTCTTATATTACTGCCATTACACATACTAAGAGCTGGGAAAAATAAAATGGATTTTATAAATGTTTAAAATAATAAAACCCAAAATTTTTATGATTTTTGTGCATTTATTCTAATAAAAATGGAGATAAATAGAAAACAGTTTCCAAATTGTCCAAATTTTTGTAACACTGTTATTACATATAAAAGCTGTGAAAATATAATATTTTTCAATTAGTGTTGCTATTTTTCCTTGTTTAATCTTCTTAAATATCATTAATTGAATAATAATTATTAAACAGTTAAAGTAAATTACCAAAAATTTTGTACACTTCATTTACAGAGTAAATAATCTGGGAAAAATACCAAATGTGGTTTTTTATACTGAAATCCGATTTTGTGTATTTAAGTGTATTTAATCTTAGAAAATAAGGAAAATAGTATAAAGAGAAAAATCATCAAAATTTTTATGTAGCCTCCTAATGTACTACAAGGTCTTCTGGTAAATTTTCATGAATTTTGGATGAGCATAACTATTTGTTCTATTTTTAGGCCATTATAAATACAAAAATCGGGGAAAAATAGGAATGCATTATGAAAAATTCTGAAAATACTTTTCTGAGTCTTATACCTCTGGTAGCAACTGCGAAAATTGTTATATATCATTTTAAGTTCTCTAAAGTGCTTTATATTGATTTTTTGGAGCCAAACAAAAAGAAAATTCAAACCATATTAAACAGTAACAAAAACCGATGAAATTTAATTGGGGTCATTTCTTAGCATAGGGGTCATCCAAGAATTTACCTAGGATTTATAGACATCAGAAAGTATTTTATATGATTTATTGCCCTATTTTATTTCAACAATTATAATAATTCGAGAAAAATGAATTATTTTCTGAAAATTGTTGTTGAACATCTCATTTTGTTGATGGAATCTGGGAAAAATCGGATTTGGTCAGAAAAGGAGTTTTAGATATTTATTTGGAAATAAATCCTTCATGAACATATTTAAAAGCTTTTAACAACATACTTTGATGATCTAGCATCTAAGCTTGAAGATCATCACATGCATGTTTGTTTGAAGACCATTCATGAGTTTGAAATGTTCACAAAATCGTTTTTGAAAGAAAACTTAGAGTGCATGTGGTGATTTTCCACCAAAACTTGTAGAAAAAGTGCATTTTCATGATCTTGACTTAGGTTTAGGTCCTTGGATTTCACAATTTACAACATGCATGTTGTAAATGGTGAAATCCTACCACCATCATCATCAAAACTGAAGTGAATGAACATGCACACATATTTTCTAAGAGAAAGGTGTAGAAGAAGAAGAAATGCAAAAAAAACCTTGAAACATGGAGGAAAATGAAAGGAAATCGTGTTCTACCTTAATGAACACACACTAGATGATGAAGATTTTGAGCATCATGAGTGTTCTTGGACTTGTTTGCTGTAAAATTTCGTGGTTCAAAGGGAGGAAGAGAGAGAAATATGTGTGAAGGTGTGTGAGAGAGAAATGAGAGAGAATGAGGGAAGATGGAGTGTGAGAGAGAAGAAGAATGATTTGTGTTGGGAAGAGGAGAGATGGGGAGGGAGATCCGAATTTTCAATGAGGAGAGAGACTCCCCACCTCTTCCATTTACTTTATATAAATTTGCCTCAATTTTTTAAATTTTCCCATTTTTTTTTATAAAGTGAATTAAGTCATGATTGTGTTTTATTAAATTATTGATTTAACTTGTTCTTAGGATAAATGTTGATAGTTTAAAATTTATTTTCCTTGAATTCATTTTCATAATTTTGATTATTATAAGATATTATTCGAAGCTTCATAATTATTATTATAGAATTTTTAAGGTTAAGTTTTAAATGTGACGTTTTTTTGGCATTTAGGGTTTTTGGGTCTTGAGCTTTAATAAATATTGGATATCAAGATACATTGAATTATTTGAGATTCATTTATGTTAGAGTTTCATACTCTTTTTCTAGTTAACAATATGTGTTGTAATTTATTTTTATCGATTTATTGGCATTCTATGTAGTGGTTTCGAGATTCAAGCGAAATTGAGGAATCAGTATACTAGTCCTAGTTTTCACTCCCCTTA